CACCTATTGTGAAAACCACTTCCGATTTCCATGCTCTTCGCAAGGAACTTTTGAACTCCGTGAAAGTTAAGTTTTCGCTACAAATTGGACGTAGGGGTGAATGCCGTGTATTGGCTGAAACCTTGGACGGATTTAAATGTCTTCTCAAGTACCTTACTGAGAGGCAACTTACATTTTTTACTTACGACACCAAAGCTGAACGTCTGTTCACGGTTGTCTTGAAAGGTCTACCCAATGGTGAATCCCTGGATCAGATCAAAGATGAATTGACTAAATTACTTTGAGTTGAGCCTGACCAAGTACTCAAAATGAAAATGAAATTCCGTCCTGGCGATTTGCGCAACGAGATTTCTATTAATTTTTATTTAGTTCACTTCAAGTCTAGTGAACTAAACAACCCTAAGGTCTTAGAAAAAGCTAGCCTAATGCTCCATGTCCTAGTGAAGTGGGAACACTTCAAGAAGACTAGAGGAAATTTCCAAAACCTCATCCAGTGCCGTAAGTGCCAAGGATGGGGTCACGGAACAAAAAAATTCCACATGCCAGCTAAATGCATGAATTGTGGTGATTCCTCTCACGCAAAAGACGTGAAAGACGTGAAGGAAGATCCTAAGAAATTTAAATGTTAAAATTGTGGTGAAACCACAAATCCAATTTTTGGGAATGTAAGACTCGCAAAGCGATCCTAAAATCTCGTTCTAAGCGAACATGTAGGAAACGCTCCACGTTCCCGACCAGGTACAAATTCCTCTGCTGTTAACAACGGTCAGCGAGGCACAAATTCTACATTCGTACCCGTAGGTACAAATATCACCCCTGCTTCAAATTCTTCATCTATACCTGGTTTTAACAATGTTCAGCAAGTAAATGGAGCTACCCATGCTGCTATTGCAGCCAACATAATTCTAACGGAAATTTTGATGATTTTGACTTAGGTAGCATTACTGCTCCTAAAATGGAATTTTTAAAGAAATCATTACTGATATGCTAAAAACTAACTCCATGTTTGATGCTATTCAAACTGGAGCTAAATTTGCGAACAATATCGTCATGAATTTGAAATGTAGTAACGGATTTTAAATCATTAAATATTTTGAATTGGAATGCTCGATCACTTACAGATAATGAGGACGAGCTATTTAACCTTTTGAGAGTTCATAACGTGCATATTGCCGTTAAAACTGAAACGTCCCTTAAACCTGACCATAAGGTTAAAAGGGACGCACTTTATTTAATTTATCGAAATGATTGTCTTGATGGCGCCTGTGGTGGCGTTGCCACCATTGTTCATAGACGTATCAAACATCAAATTCTTTCTTCGTTAGAAACCAAAGTTTTTGAAACTTTAAGAGTTTCTGTCGAAACGGGATTTGGACAACTTACATTTACAGGTGCCTATTTGCCATTCTAATGCGTAGGCCAGCAAACATTTTTTCTGAAAAGTTGACCTGGCAACTTACCTGTCATAGTTCTAAATTTTTCATTATTGGTGATTATAATACAAAACACCACTCATGGAGTAATGCTCAAAGCAATTCCAATGGTAATATTCTGTCTATTCAATAACTGAACAGCCCAACATGCTTTTCTTTAAAAATCCCTCAACTATTGATTTGGTCTTAACTGATCAATGTCAACTTTATAGCCAATTGGTTACCCATGCTGACTTCGGTTCTAATCACCTTCCAGTAACTTTTGAAATATCCCAAGAAATAATTTCTAATCTCAAAAGCTCTACTTTAAAATACCATACAGCTGATTGGGAGCAATATTCAACATTTATGAAATATAGCTTTGATTCAAATATTCCTTTGCAAACCAAAGATGATATTAATTATGCTCTTGAATCTCTGACTACTTCTATAGTTGAAGCAAGAGCAGCTTCAGTAACAAAATGCGAGGTAAACTCAATTCAATTATACTAGTTGGCAATCTTCAGCTCTTGGAGGCTATATCAAAGAACACGCGGTTCTGCCATGAAAGTGATCTGGCGGGATTTGCAAAAACAAATAAAAGAGCGGTTATCTACCCTGAGCAACAACACTTTTGAAAATAATGTTTTGAAATTAAACTCGAGTTCCTAACCCTTTTGGAAGCTCACAAACATTTTGAAAAACCTCAAAAGAATATTCGAGCTCTCAAAGAAGGAGGTAAAATTTTGATTACAAATTCGGAAAAAAGCTCAGAAACTTGCTAATCAATTCGAGTCTTACTAGTTCAGTTTGGGTCTTACTAGTCCTATTGAGAATCAGATTGCTCGGGATTATCTGGATATTATCTCTCGGGACAACATTTTTGATGATTCCTGGGGGACTGATTTGGACGAAGTAAGATCTATAACTAAAAAGTTTCAAAATATGAAAGCTCCAGATGGAATTTACTATATCCTCATCAAAAAACTCTCAGAGAGTACCTTGTCTTTCTTGGTAAAACTATTTAACAGATGTTTCCATTAGGCATACTTTTCTGACAAATGGAAAAATGCAAAAAAAATCAGCTGAAGCTTCTAGTTAACGTCCAATATTTTTTTTAATTTTTAATAGAATGATGCTTCACATCAATACGAACTCAATTTTTGCAGATGAGCAGTTTGCATTTTGCCATGGGCATTCAACTACTCATCAACTCTTAAGAGTTACCAATTTAATTCGTTCAAACAAATCTGAAGGCTACTTCAGTGTTTGGCATGAAGGTTTGATTGCTAAATTGAAAAAGTTTAATTTTCCACTCTATATTATGAAATTAGTTCAACATTATTTAACTGACAGGAATCTCCAGGTAAATTATCAATATTCAAAATCTGAACGACTACCTGTTAGAGCAGGAGTTCCTCAGGGTAGCATTCTTGGGCCTATATTGTATAAAATTTTCACTTCGCTCTCTGATTTGCCTCAGGGCTGCCACAAATCTTTGTTCGCCCATGACACAGGCATTTTCACTAAAGGAAGAAGTCTTCGTGTTATTTGCAATAGACTACAGGAAAGTTTAGATATTTTCTCTTCTTATTTACAAAAACGGAAGATTTCTTCCAACGCTTCCAAACTCATCTTATAATATTTCCACATAAGCCTAGAGCTTCCTTTTTGAAACCTAGTAGTAGTCACACAGTTACTATGGACGGAGTTCCAATTTATTGATCAAGTCAAGTGAAATATTTTAGATTAGTACTTGACCAAAAATTAACTTTCAAAGCTCACATTGAGGACATCTAAGCCAAATTTAACAAATGTTTAAAATGTTTTGTGGAGGAAATCCAAACTTTGCCTGAATAATAAACTTCTAATATTTAAACAAGTTTTTAGACCGGCCATGCTTTACAATGTGCAAATATGGTCTAGTTGTTGCTCTACCAGGAAAAAAGCACTTCAAAGAATTCAGAACAAAATTATGAAGATGCTTTTGAAGTTGCCTCTCTAGTACAGTGCTAAAAAAAATCAAAACAAATCGTTCTCTTCCTTACAGCATTCACATTATAGCAAGGTAAACAACTTTAAACATATCATGTATTTATGACACTTAACTTAACAGCACAATTTAAATAAAACAACTGGTAAAACACCATTTTGTGTATATTCACGATATTTGCACCAATATACAGTTTTAAATTTTGGTCCAATGTCACCCGTCTTACGGTACATAGAATTTCGAATGTTGAGACTTTAGAACGAATGTACAAAAAAATTCTCAATTGCAACAATTAATTCCATTTGTATTTAGATAAGATTATATCTTATTTAGGCCTTAGAAAAGCCAAAACTTAAAAAAAAAGATATGTCAAATAGATTTACTGAATCACCAAAGATGGCATGAGAAACGCCAATGATTTTAAAATTGACAAAAATTATCTTGAAAATGACCTTAGAAATGCCACAGTGACCTTAAGAAGGATACAACCATAGAGGTAACTCTAAGACCAGAAGATCCCGAAAAAATGAGCTCAACTTTTTGGCTCAGCTCTGGCACTATCTTCGGTCCCAAGCTAACCGATGCACTCCTCGAAACATAGTTAAATCCACGAACCCCTCATTTTATCTGTCAAACTTTCATAGTGAATCAAAACAAACATAGTGTAGTACTGGAATTTATACTAGAATGGGGTACGATAATCGATTTCTCGCGTCACTTTTCAAATAGACCAATTATGAGAAAATCGAAGTTGAAGTTCGACAGATTATCATTTAAACTGTTTAGAAACAATACATTTTGCAATGCTATTTTTCATGGAGTCAGTGAATAATAAAGTTGAAAATTCAGTAGAAACGATAAAATACAATTTTACTTTGAATTTCATGCTATAACATAGAAAAAACCACATAGGTCGTTTTGTCAAGTCGCGTTGTACATCGGACATGTTACATTGGAAGATTTATCTCACTGACATAATCAATGAGTGTTACATTGGACGTTAAGATCTACATGATACTAGATTCCCTTTCACAGATTTCATAGTAGAATACCTAACTTTAGATTGGCCCCGCCTTTAGAAAACGAGCACCAATCAGGTTAGGCAGTCCGAATGACCGAAGTAACAATCATGTACCCATCATTTCAAACTTTACATTGGACAATTTTTGAGCTAAGATTTTCTTAAATAAATGAAAGTAAATTTGGATGGGTGTTTTTGTATCACATACAATGATAGAAGAGCAATAGTTTGTATCGCTTAACTCGATTTGTTTACATTTGTTACATTGGTCTATTTGAAAAGTGACGTGAGATTTGCTTGGGACCAATAGGCTAGTCAAGTAGTGAGCCAATTTAAAATCGTTAGTTTCGAATTGATTGTTGATAGAACTGCCAAAATAAAGTAGAAATGTTATTCCTTCGCTCCTGCAGAGGAGACCGATACCACTTGCATTCCCTCAGTTTTTGAGAGTAACGCAGTTAAAAAGTTCATTACCGGTCATTCAAAACGTATAAACTTGTTATTCAATTACTACTATAAATAGATTTTGACTGATCCTTATTGCAAAAGGGGAACTGAGAGTCAGGGTACTTACATTGATGTTGGAGAAAACTGTTCCGCTGAGAATGATAAACATCCTCGGCTCCAGATTAACAATACTGTTTCGCGAATACAAGCCCCAGATTGTGCTCACGACAAATAGAGAAATCAGTGGAATCATAGGTCGAACTGCTTCTTTAAATGGACGCATATTGCCCGTTTTATCACGATATGATCTAGATTAATCAGTAGAACCAACTGTCAATTGAACTGTTTACCAATTTTCTCAAGGATACACTTACTTGTATATATTATGGATAATAATGGGATGGCTGGTAATCATAGGCGATACGTATAACGTAATCTCAAAGATTATACATGGTTTAATTCCAAAAATGGTGTTTTGCCAGATCTCCGGTCCAAAAATGCCGGTTGCACCCAATGTTAACGATACACCCTGAAAGAAAAAAAGCCGAAATACTATGACACTGTGTTCTGGTTGTAACAGTTCATCCCAGAAGACCTACCCACATGAGAAAATCGTAGCCCCATGGCAGGAACATAACCCCCGTGATGTATTTTTCCACGTGTGAAAGATAGAAGTTGAGATAGGCATTGAGCATCACAAAGTGCATCCTTATTGGAGGTAGATCGAATCTTCCGAACAAACTGAAAACGTACACCGGAATCAACAGTGTCGAGTACGAGTCCAGTCCGTGATCGAACAGTTCACCTAGCGGTCCGCTGGTTCCCGTTCGCCGGGCCTGCTTTCCATCAATACCATCTGCAAGAGGTAAACATTTAGACTGTGCTATATGGCGACATCTCGTGGCGTCTTCCCAACTCACCTAACGTATATGCTACAAATATGCTAATTGCTGCCACTATCCAAACCCAACCGGGAATTGGGTTTGGAGTTATGGTAGCAACCGTGAATCCAAAGTCGAAGTAACCTATCAGGAAGAAAGTGATCACCGTGAGCATGAATCCGGAGAATGTGAGCAGATTCGGGGCGATCCATCTGGGGCAGAATTGTACCAGCCAGTTCCAGAATGGGTGCATCACATGGACGCTGAGTATGCTGGTGTCGACGCAGCTGTACTGCAAAGAAAATAAAACACATTATAAAAAAAAGTTATATTTTACCACCAGAGAGGCGCAAAAATAGTCTTATCGTGGGATTATAAAAAGGGAAAGTTCACGGCATGGAATTTGCTCGGGTCATCGCTTCCATCAGCTGCCGGCCGACCATACACAAGGCGCAGAAATGAATTATTTTCCTTCCACTTCTCCTATCAGTTGTCATTCAATCCAGTTAAACGCCTATTTATGTCGACTATAGAGGAGTAAGAACACGCGATCATACAGTAACGGACATAAGTATATAACTATGCGAATTTTTGCTCTAGTTGTAATTTGTTTTTTTCGGGTGCCATGATTTTTTTTTTCAAATCTTGGCTTCTGTATTGATCAAGTATTTGAGATTTATCGGTACTTTTTTGTAATTGGTTAAATCTGTAAGAATTTGTTGCTGTCTTCGACAAACTAGATCGGGTGATAAAAGACTGCCGGATTCTGAACAAATAAGATCAGAATTTGGTCACTAGGCGGTGCTAGTGGTCATTTAAGCCACCTATTCAGACTATGAGCTGTTTTTCAAAACCCTGATTAATTAGGAAGTAGGTGCCCAAGTAACAATTCAAGCTGATCAGTAAGAACAGAAGCTGATTATTGGTTGATTTAAGGTGTACAAAACTGATTAACAGCAGGCTGAATATATAGTTGATTAGTAGTGCGTGAAGCTAATTGTATCCCCATAATTCAACCTCAATAAGTTAGCTGATCTAAAGATTGAACAAGCTTTATTTTAGCTTAACATTACTCCACAAATCAGCAATGCACTACAAATATTTTGATAGCCTGATTTGTTAAATGTAGTCAGTGTCACTCGTTGCATTTCCGGCATTTTAGTTCTTCTAAATTCACTGCCTATCTTTCTAATCCCAAGCAGCGGCAGCAGTAGAGACAAGGTAGAGGAGCATTTTAGGAATAGCCCCAGGTAGAAGTGCGCTGCGACGACATTGGAAGCATTAAGATTTGTATTTCTGTGTTTTGACTGCTATATTGCACTGAATTTTCTGACAGAATTCCAAAAATATAACTCATTTATGGCACTAAAACAGCTCCCACATTTTTTTTTTTTTTTTTTTTTTTTCCGTCGATCTTGTTTTCCGTGCTGAGCACCAATGCTACCGACGTGCCAGGAAGGCAGCTCCCACACCTGGACCCTACCTATCGACCCATCAACTCATGAACCGGGGGCCAACGGCTTTACTTCCCATCCGAAGGAAGGCGTGATCAGAGATGTTATGCCTCAGAACATCCCGGCGGCGCCGACTGGGATTGAACCCAGGCCTGCTGGGGTGAGAGGTAATCACGCTTACCACTACACCACCTTCGCCGTTAGCTCCCACATGACGATCGAAATAAATCGCGCACTTGTGTCGTCCACATTGTGTTAACTACACTTGAAATGAGAGGAATGTTTTACTGTCACCAGTTGTTGTTTACAATTCTGCATTGGTGTATAATACTCTTCCGGTTGCTGTTATTCAACTTAAATTTGACGTGTTTCAAGTTAATGATCATACCTTTTGCCACACATATGCTTAAGTGGTCCAGTAGGTATGATTTATGGCCATCCAATTACACGGACAGAAAATTGTTTGCATTGAACCAAAAAAACTTTAATTGTATTTAAGCAAACAATTCCGGTTGAAATTATATTGCATTTTGTTGTTTCAATAATACTTATTCATATAAATTCGAAATAGGATTCTTTTCGTTTTAATCAGCTACTTTTCAACTGCAACTATTGTAAAAATAACAATATTCTATTATTAAGGCAACAATAGTTAATTTTAATTTAGCATTTATTTGCTGTGTCTCTAGGCCATGAAAGCAAAAATAACTACCAACCATTCCCTCATTTTCACCCGGACAAAAATGTAAACAATAACAATACTTCCGCTTTCCTCGTAAGTATTGTTTTTAATTGTGAATTTCGGGAAATAAGTGCAAGATTTTCGAAAATCTTGAGACTTGAGGTAAGTAAGTATGCTGCAATTCGAGCTGCAGTTGATAAATATAATCAATTTTTCTGTTTGCTCCCGACGCCAGAAAGGCAGCTCCCACATCTGGACCCTACATATTAGACTGATGCAAATTTTGACATTTTCGCTCCACAGTGCTCAAACGGTTCCAAATCGGGTCCTGATTAGTCTCCCAAAATTTGAACTCACTCGATAATAAACTGACTTGGCACAAACCATTTGAAGTTTATATGGAAATTACTATTGGAAAACCAAATATTTTGTTCATATCCATCTAACAATTTACCATGTCGCTTTGCTTTAAAAAATGATAACTGAACTTGTAGAAAATTTTCTCAGCTACAACTATGTCCTAAACCACTTTTCAATATAATGTAAGCATCAAAAGTTATCAATAATTCAAGCCACTAATGTCTTACGATTATGCTCAATCAACTGTTCAGCAGGCAACATTGGTGTTTCTGGCGCTTGGAATAGAGCACAAAAATCATGGCTACTATGCCACACTGCAAGATACAGTGTTGCTCACAAAATAGCTGCTTGATCATGCATAAGATTATCAATCTCTTAAACAATTAATAACTATTTTATTTGACGTTTGGCTCAACAACTATATTCTGCTAAGTTGAAGCTGAGAAAATTTTCCATAAGTATAGCTTTTGAATTTTTGAACAGTGCAATATGGAAAAAGGTAAGAAGACAATGAACAAAAAGTTTTGATTTCCCATAGTAATTTCCATATAAACTTCAAATGGTTTGTGCCAAGTCAGTTTCTTTGCAAATGAGTTAAAATTTTGGGAGACTAATCAGGACCCGATTTGGAACCGTATGAGCACTGTGGAGCGAAAATGTCAAAATTTGCATCAGTCTACTACATATCGACCCATCAACTCATGAACCGGGGGCTTTTATTTTATGCCTCAGAAATTCAATTACAATTCTGTTTGTTTCAAAAAGAAAACAAAACATAAAAAATTTCCATATTATTCTTGCATCAATAAAAATATTTTTATTTCTACTGCGCGAATTGTCAGACTTTATAAAATAAATATGATTGAATCAACAAGAAATATCTTTTAAAAACAAACATATTTTTGTTGTTGACCCAGCTGATAAATTTGACAGCTTACGTCAAAACCATGAAAGCTCTTGTAAATTCTAAAAGATTTTCTTTTGGATTTAACAATCCATAGGTTTTTAGAAACAAAAATACTGGATTGTTGAAACAATAATGATTTCTTTTTGCAGCCAAAACAAAATGAAATTCTTATTAATTTTACGTCAAATATTATTACGGTTAAAATATTTTTTTCTGCGTGTAGTTAGTCAGCACCTTGTTGCAGTCCCATAAAATATATAATATATGAAGCGGTTTTCAATTATTTTTTTTTTTCTAAATAAAACTAGAAGGCTGAACAAGGGTTGGAAAAGACTGTTATTTAATGCCTTAGAAAACTTATAATTTATAACTTTTACGCTTTTGGCTGATTAAAATCACCAGATTTAGATGTTTAAAAGCTGAAAAAAGGTTAACGTGGTCTATGTTTAAAAATTATTCAAACTAAGACTAAATTAAAATCGATTGAACAACACTTGTTAAGCATCAAGTTGTTATCTGGGTGTCTTCTACAATATATATGCTTAGAACATTTCATAGACATCCGAAAAAGTCACGAAGTTTTGATCTATTTTATCAGCGAAAAACAATCGCGAAGTTATATACTTTTGTCCGGTACTGTACATTTAGTTCGCTGAATGTAAATTGATTCAATCACGTACTTATACACAAATAAATAATAACCGATTCGCTGTGTAACAAAAGGCGATCCACGGGAAGGGGTTAGAAGTTCACTGATTATAATCCACGACCTATGAGAGGGGTCGGCTATTCAATTCCATTGACGCCATAAACCGGAACTGGGTGTTCTCTGGTTGGTAGCATGCTAGATGGTGGGTCTACTCACACATTTACAGGATTAGAAGTCAAGGCTGTACCACACAGATAATAATATTTAGTAATTTTTCAACTAACAACTGGAGTAAGTTTTTAAATATAAAATTATACGTTTAACGATCCGAATCTCAATTAATTAATGAAACCAATGTCAATACAATTGATCTTTTGACTTCCATGTTAAAACACACATAGATGTACAATGTTATGCAAATGAATGTATTATTATATACTTTCATGTAAAATTATCATTTTAATACTGTATGTTTCAACTAAAGCCAGAAAGTAAATCAATCTCAACAAACAATTCAAGCTGATTAAAGGCTGAATAAGCATTTTTTTTAGCTGTAGACGCATATTGTTGACTGAATAAACTCTTGTTTCGCTTCCAATGTTTGTTGGGATGTGCTACACGTGAATTTAAGAAGTTATTCCTGTGCAGGTACAGTAATCTGGGATCTTTTAGTGAACACCAGGATCACCAGGATCAGAGGATCAGTAAAGGGAACTTAAACTTGACCTTTCAGGCGATTAAAGTTTCCAATCAAATTTCCCCGTATCGCGGATAGATCACCTCTTCGTGGTGCGTTACGGTTTCAGATCTATCACCCTAAACCCTGGTCATGACAACACAGCAAACATTTTGTAAATTTTTGGCAGATTAAGGCTTAGTTGAAACATACAGCAATACACTCAGGTCTTTTTTACACGGGGGATACGTACCGTGTAAAAAAAAACCGTGTAAAAAAAAAACCTACGAGATTTTGATTTTTCACATGCTTAAATGTTTAAAAAAAAAATCGGATTTTGATGCCATTTGTAATTAAAGCATGATATGGTCCATATAGATATATTTTAAAAATTTCTGTATTTACACCAAAAATTGTGATTTTTTTTTTAAGTATGCCATTCGATTACCTATAGCTTGAAATTGTGATTGGAATCAAGTCGATAGGTTGTATCGTTGTCGAGAAATCGTTAAAAACGTACCGTGTAAATCGTGGAAAACCGTGTAAAAAAACCGTGTAAAAAAA